TCTCTTCCGCCAGCAGATCTATTGGGGGGGTTCTTGCAATCATCAGCAAAGCTTCAGTTGATGTTGTTTTATATGCATAAGCTATTTTTATGGCTGCTTTCCGTTGAACACCAAGTAATATATTCCTGTATACTTTTTTTCCATGGCTCTTTTCCAAATCATTGCGCCATATAGCATGATCGAGTGGGCGACTGAGCATAGAATTTTCTGCTACCTTTACAAGGCCCCCCAACGTTGGGCATTATCCTGCTTATGTTGCTTATGGCTTTTCCCGCTTTTTCTGTTACTTTTCTAACATGAACTCCCATTTTCATATTTCGATCCATGTTATTTAACAGATTCTTGGCTACGAATGTTCGTTTCCTTCAATTCAATTGTAATACTTTTCAGTTTTCTGCCTGCTGCCAGCAGTACTACCTCTGACTTCCGGGGGACAAGCTTGAGTTGTTTCACTGACATCCACTCGGCTATATCCTTCACAGTTCCATTGGAAGTTCTTACCAGACTTTCTTCATTTTTTCTCACCACCACCACGGCTAGATCATCTGCGTAGCCTATTAGGTTAACTTCTCTAGGGACCTTCAGATTCAGTACCCCATCATAGTATGTGTTCCGCAATGGGGGACCAATTACAGAACCTTGTCGAACACCACAGGTGATGTTCATTTTTTTCTTGTATCCTACTATTAACTACCTCTCTTCAAGGTAGCTGGCAATCATATTGTACAGGTATGCAGTTACATTTCTTCTTTTGATTTCGTTCAAGATCCCTTCCCATGGCGCGGAGTTGAAAGTGTTTTGTACATCCAACTTTATCATGGGGCACCTTTTCCTGCCAGTCCTTTCGTTTGCTTGGTCTGCGATGTTTTGTACCTTCGTCAGTGCATCTGTTTTTGACCTACCTTTTCGGAAACCGAACTGATTTTGATTTAAATCTTCTTTATTTTCTATTTCTCTCAAAAGTCTCTCAAAAGTCTTGTTCAGATGCTCGAGGAGTTTTCCCATGACGTTCAGGATACATATGGGCCTGTACGATTTACTTTTACCTTTTTCGATAAGAACGAGTCTGGCTATCTTCCATTCTTTGGGGGATTTCACTTTTGTTAATAATAGGTTCATTATCCTCAGGCATTGTTCCGGATGTGTCTTAACGACAACTTTGATGACTTCCGCTGGGAGTTCATCCGGACCGGGAACTTTTTTCTCTTTTAGTCTTTTGTTGGCTTCCATGAGTTCATCCATTGTGAACGGTGGTATCTCCTCTGGTGCCGTTGGTAGTCTGTCCCATTTTTTGATCTGGCGAGATGGAAACAACGTGTTAGCAAATTTCATCTGTTCTTTTTCAGTAAGTCCAATAGGCTCTCTGACTCTAACCTTGTTAGCTACTATTTGGTAGCCCTTTCCCCAGATATCCGCATCTACTTCTTCTATTAGTATTCTCCACGCTTTCTGTTTGGCTTCTACTATTGTTTTCTTCAAATCATTTCTGCTTTGTTTGTATTCATCTTGCCTCAGTCTTTTTTGAGGTTCATCATTACCTCTGTTCGATCTTACCACTTTTCTTCTAGCCTGAGCACATGCCTTACGTTTTCCTGCAACCTCTTCAGTCCACCAATATACCGGAGTTCTATTACTTTTCACTTTTTTTTTCGGGAAAATTACCTCTTTTATTACCACTTTTCTTCGAGCCTGAGCACAAGTCTTACGTTTTCCTGCAACCTCTTCAGTTCACCAGTATACCTTTCACTTTTTTTTCGGGAAAATTTAGTTACATGTAGCTTTTATAATTTTTTTTAGTAGTACCACGGCGATCCCTTTCCCTTTCCTAAGGAGTGACCGTCCAATTTCTACACAATATAGTACATGAAATAGGTAAAATTTCAGTTACATCCTCACTGGTGAACATCCGATGTTTCAGAAAATGGGACACTCAAGTACTCCATGGAATTATGACTTTATGTCACAAAAGAGTTGTTTCTTGATGATAAGAGTAAATTTAACTCATTCTTGACATTGAATCGTAATTTTATGAATGAATTGAATGCTTCATCTTGTAGTGTTATTCAGATTGCTGCTGAAGAGGCAATAAGCCAAATGTCTCATTTCTCATAGAAGAAAGTCTTTTGTTCGATATAATTTTCATATAAAAGTAGTTGTTTCGAAAATATTTTTTCTTTCATGTAATTCAATGTTTTTAAGAAAGTAGCTGTTCCAGGAGTGCTTTTTCTTCCAGTTTGTCTGGAAATTACTTCTTTGCATGATCTACACATCGTTGTGAATGGTTTATTTTGATATCGATTGCTTTCCGTCTTTCTTTAGGAGATTGTCACATTTTTATATTGAGATGGAGAAGTGAAGCCTAAAAATATACCACAAACTAATATATCTTGGCACAATAATGTCGCTGGAATTGTAAAGCCTGCTTCTCAAAATCTTGTAACACTGTTCTGAACCAGAGAACTGTACAAACCTCAGCAACTTGATGTTTTATAAAGCTCAGATCAGGCTAGTTGGCTTTCCTTGTTCATCTTTCACTGCCTGAACCACTGTGTATACTGTTTTCGGCGAGTGCATTGGCTTGGGATGTGGGGGTTGAGCAAACCGGCCATCGGATGCCTGCTTTCACGTAGCCCCGTTGGATACGGGAATGACATAATCACTTGTGGTTCTGTCATTCTCTAAATGAATGGCATCCCAACGATAGCTCAATCCTAAGGTGTGTGTATCTGTGCCGAGAGGATAAATGATACTGAGCCTATCAGCTGTCTCTACGAAACCTTCGAGATACCGGGCGCCCTCTCGTCGTAGCATCGCCTTGTCACGGTAATGCGGATCTACAGAGTCTACAGAGGAGATGGATGTCGAGTTTACGACTCCAACTGACCTCCCTGTAAATTTAGTTCAGGAGCGAGTCTACAGAGGAGATGGATGTCAAGTTTACGACTCCAACTGAACCTTGAAGAAAAATGGTTTGGTGGTGCAGCCAAGAAACGACTGAGTCGTCTCCTCAAGAGCGGGGTACCTTATACAACCACCTTGCACCAAATTCTTGAGCGGCGTACGCATAATCTATTGCAGGTCGGGGAACAAACCCCCATGATGGTTTGGTGATAATTCACCAAATCTAAGGCATCGTCAGGTGTAGCTGACGTGCAAAAACCTGAGGGTTTTTGCACGCCATATGAGGGAAGGTTGTCGTGGGTATCAAGGAGGGAATCTTGCAACTTGACTATCCGACTACCTCCTTAACACAGCACATACTTTGTGCCTGCCCCGCTGGGGACTGAATCAGGTCTTTAGAGTTCGACAGAGCCCTACTCTCACCATCTGACCTGAAAGACCACTCACCATACAAACTAATCGGCTTCGTTAGGATGCTGGGTTCATTTGGCCGAGTGTGAAAAGGTATAAGCCACAATAAACCCTTGCGGGTTGCGGTGGAGGGTCAAATAGACCCACTCACTTCGTACCTAACCTAAGCTCAGATCAGACCTTCTTTGGAATATTGTTCACACGTATGGAGTTCCCCCCCTAAGCATACTCTGAAGCTGCTGGATTCCTTCCAGAAAAGATCCATCCGTCTGATTGGAAATTCGAACATCACCTGCAATCTTCATAGTCTGGAACATCGAAGAAAGGTTGTAGATTTGTCTCTCTTTCATAGATACTTTCACCAAAGGTATTCAAGTGACTTGGCACATTTGATTCCACTAAGAGCGGTAAATATCAGATATACGCGACGGACTGTGGCTGTTCATACTTTTGAGGTTCAAGTCAAAACAAAGAACTGGATTATATCAGGAAAGATTTTGAATATAATGGTTACACCAGAAATCTGGTGTAACAGATTTTGGCTAGAAAGGAATCAATGATCAAAATATTTTCCAGCCTGCCTACACAATAGGTGTGGGAAACAAGTCAAGATATCTGACGAAGGTTAGTCTTTCAGATAATTTTTGTTCATCCAGCAGCAGGAATACGTTGAAATCTATCGAGTGGATAACCTACAGACTGGTTTCGAAGTATTACCCCCCATCATCAGTGCAGTAAAGATCCGACCCAAACAGCAGTGTGCCTGGGACTCTACTGACTTCAAAGCGGCTCGACTGCATGTATGGAGGAGAGATGCATACGTATGAGAAAATAAATATTTCAAAATGGAATCTCGAAATATTTATCTCACCCAACGTGTCTACACAGTAGGTTCTGATAGGTATCTTATATGATTTTCTGTCTGATATATTTCAATGTCCATCATAGTATTAGCCGAGGAAGTAGTTGGTTTCCGGTAGAATTTACAAGCGACCAGACGCGAAAAACGACTCTAAGAATAACATTTACCAGATTTTTGGGAATATAGCCAGGCCTACATCGATGAAACAAAGAAGCTGTAGAAAATCATTATTAACGAGCACAGGAGAAACACCCAGCAGGCAAGCAAGCAAACAAATTGGAAATAGCGTAGCAGGTTTGAACCCTCAAATCGAAGGTAAAATCTTCATTGTGGGTACCCTATGAAAATCTCCAATCGACCGAATAAATCGACTACAATACACTGAACCAGGAAACCAAGAAAGTAAAGGCGAGAAAAGAAGGGCATCAAGTAAGTAATTTATAGGTAGTCTCAGAATATTGGAAATAGGTCACTCATCACCCCAAGAAGATTGTGGATACCAACGATCTAAAAGTCTTGTGATATTATCGACATCACATTCATTGTTTGAAATATGCATTATTTCATTTCCAATCCAGGTCAAAATAATTTATGTTCAGTATTATTTTCTTTCTCAACTGACACATTCGTATATCTCACTTCTGGTATTTTTCATTTTTTTCTCAATTTGCCATTAAGTGTTTCTCTCTCATAAATTCCAAATCTGTCTACATAACTTCTTAGAAAATGGGAGTGCCAGTAATATATTGTATTTTATTATTACTATCAAACATGATCTGATGATATTTCATTTCACGTATCTCAACGTATCTCACCACTTTTTCAGATATTTCCGTTATGGCGAAAGATGACCTGCATGCAATCAATCCCACTAACATAGGTTTCTACTTCTACGACAGGAATAATCCATCAACCCCTTTTGAAATCAACGACACGAACACTATCTCTAACAGTTCCTTCAACATCTCCAGGAACACCGTTTTCGTCACTCACGGCTTCACAGAGTCATTCAAAGATTGCTCAATAATTAAAGACGCTTTCCTCAAAAAACATGACGTCAATATAATCGTCATTGATTGGAGTAAATACACCATGACGGCCTATTTGGAGATCTCAGAATTGTGTGATTTAATAAGCTCATTCATCAAGAAGCTCGTTAGTGAAAATGATCTACAATTGAGTAAAACTTCGCTTGTTGGGTTTTCCTTGGGTGCACATATCATGGGGGTCGTTGGAAGAGATTTAGGAGGGTCATGTGACCAAGTGATAGGTCAGTTTGAATATATATTTCAGTTTTCCTAGGTATTTAATCTTCCACAACCTGAAAAATAACCCAAAAAGGGTTATTTTTCAATAACTGTGCATCATAAACCACTGAAGAATACAATAAGTCGGTAATTTGTCGTAATTTTGCCAAAACAAATAATATCATTTTCAAAAAAATCATTCCATTAATTTCAGCTATCTAGCTGTTCAGCTGATTCAATTAATGTAACTATAAACATCTCTAAGAAGTTTCTGCTATTATCACCATTTAGAATGTCTATTGACGGCATTTTTGTGATATGATGCATAAAAGCGAATTGAGCATTGTCAAAATCAAAATGATGACCTATATCATGAAAATATTAAGACAAATCCATCCATTCTCCCTACAATCGAATTCGTGTTGTTTTTTTCCATTGTTCAATAGGTGTCTAGTCTGCCCAATACATACCGTATCACAGTTCAAGCTTTATATGTATACTGTCATGCGATAGCTCGCTTGAAATGGAGCGAAAACCACCATTCACACACTAAACCAACCGGCATTCACTGTCAAGAACCCGCCGACAATACCGGAGGAGAAGCATCATCTGAAACCAAGCCTTGTGAGGACGTAGTAGACAAACTGGCAGATAAACACAAAATAACCGCTCACGCATTGTTGCTGAATACAACGAATTCTGAAAAGTCTTATGACCTTAAAATATCAATGGCATCACAAGCCGCAAAGATGAACTAGTGGAGTTGCTATCATGTCATTCCATTGATGTCATGGCAATCAAGGTTGAGATTCACGAAAGTTTCATGCATTTCGGAATCCAATATCTATGGGGTCGATAGGACCAGATATCTGCAGAATAGACGGCCTTCATAAGAACAATCGTCAAGGACTGAAAACCGAAACACCAAACGGACCAAACAGTCGCCGATGGAATAAACCTAAGACAACACCGACAGAGTAGGATCTTTTCGGTGTACTTTCGCAGGAAAACTTACAAAGTGTCGACCTAACAAAATTGTTTCCAGACCACCACTCAACAGTGACCATTGGTAATTTAATTTCAAAGTAAGGAGCAGGGACCTGGCAGGACTCCTACATGAACATTGTGTTCGTTTACCCAAAGGCCTCAACGAACTGCTTCATGATGCCCTTGTACTAGCTATAATGAACATCACCACAGTGCAGAACATCGCCACCTCGAAGATGACTCTACAGATGGTCCTCGGACCACAACCACATCCAATTAAAAGTAAAAGAATGGGTAATGGAACTAGAAAATCCTACAAATAAGATCATCGACTGTAGTGAATTCCAGCGCACCATCTACAACGCGATGGGAACTTTCCCCATAACGAAACAAAGATCAACTTAGAGGACGGTACGACACGACTACAACAAGCGATTCAGTAATCCACGGAGCGGAGCGCTTTGGACGTCCCAGCCTAACGCTTCAATCTTCAGATCAAATAACACCAAAGATATGATGGAAATGCCCTAATAACAAGAGGTGCATGCTAACAGTCAGCAGACTTCTGCGGCAAACGTTGCGGAAATAACTGAAGAAGGGTCACTGGTAACCATGTCATCTAGTTCACGGAGATCAGGATTTAGTCTAAACCGATCAAGAGAAAGTCCAATCATTTGATGACACTTCCGAAAATCAATGTTGTTGTTGCACCTTTTCGGTGCAAAATATCGAGACATCGGTCGGTCAAATAGTGGGGAGAGACAGACGATAGCAAAGGGACAACGCTCAACCCCTAGGACCTCAGCCAGAACTGGAGATTCCTTGAAAACAACGTAAGATAACAGGGGGTCAACCTTGACAATAATCTGATGTTCTGGTCCCGTATCACAGAGACGTTGAGTCTGGCGAAATCCACTCGATAAAACGTCTATCTCATCAGAGGATGCAGATGTAACATGAATCTACTTCTAAGCGAGGGAATCTATTCCATATTCTTGAATGCATCCACTGTTTGGGGCCAGTTAATAGAAACATACAGACTCTCTGTTCAAATGTTTAAAAACTGATGATTGGTCGTAATCACTCCTAGATACATACCAAACCGATTCATGTAGAAAAGATGGATTATAGCAGTCAATACGTAAATGTCTCCTTGAGAAAGCATGCCGAAAACATTTTGAAGCTAATTCAAAGACACCCCCTCCGAAAGTCGCCATCTGGTAAGTATAAAAACACGAAGAACACAAACACACATATACACAATCCAGTTCTACACACACTAGTCACAAGTAAGGCATAGGGAATCACCATGCAAACATATTAGAGTGAGTCAGTTACAAGAACATTAACAGATGAACATGCAATATAAGCACCAGCGGCTGACTCCAAACCAAAAGAGGTTAGATTTCAATCTCACTAAAGGACCAAACAGAAGGCTGAGGCATGTTATTTGCTGAGCGTGGAAACATATGATATGGAAAGATGCCTATTATATTCACGATTACGTTGAATATATTGACATGTTGTGCAAAAATTTGATTGACGTTTTTTTCCCGCAACATTTTGTATTAAACATAGTTAATCGTATATTGCCAAATTTGAACGTACCTTTTGAAAAAAGTTGCGGTTAAATTCTTGATGATGATGGAGACTAGGAGCTCCATCTCTACATTTTGAAATAGACCTTTTGATCTGGTTTACATTTTTTTCTGGTCAATAAACGGAAATAATACCGGAAAAAACATTTTACAACGTAAAATCTACAACTCCTTACATTTCTTCAGGTTTAGACCCAGTAGGTATAGGTTTCCATATCATCGAAGCTTCTCAACGTTTGAGCACATCCAGTGGCAAGTTTGTTCACGTAATCCATACCAACGGTGATCAGTTTGGATATTACCAACCTCTAGGACATGCAGACTACTATCCCAATGGGGGTAAGAAACAACCTGGATGCGAATGGGAAATTCTTGGTGTATGCGACCATTTACGATCTATGGACTACTTTGGTGAGTCCGTTTCAAGTGGACGTTTCAGAGCACTCAAGTGCAACGATTATTCTCAGTTCAAACAGAAGAATTGCAGTGCAGATGTTTCTTTCATGGGAGAATTTCCGGTTGATAAGAGGTAGGTGAACAAACATTTTTATGGAAAAAGGTTCAGGACTATTGAGAACTCTATATTATTTACCATTTTCATAAAAGTATCCATATTTATTTCAGGGTATATTGAAAATATTCGTTATTAGAATATACGAGAACGCTGTTAATTCTCAACATTTATTATTCATATCTCTCTTAGTTCAAATTCTCAATACTCTTCATCACTATTTCATTTCAAATGTTTCACTGCCATTCTCGTGAATTGTTCTTGAAATATGAGAACTTTTTTTGGAAAATTTGGAAAAAAATTAACAATGTGTAGGTATGTTGAAAAAAGAAAACGTAAGTTTTTATTTGACACATGACAACATGCATTGTACGTTTCATTGATGATTCATAATTATTAAGGGCAGATTGAGAACATCTGATAATATTTCCAATACATTTATTTATTATAGATTTGTTTTTGAAGGTTTTTATGTTTTTTTATTCGTGAATATTTTCTGCTTTATATCACTGATTGTTAAAAAATTTTTTCATTGTTTCAGGGCTTCGGGTATATATTTCTTAGACACAAATGGAGTACCACCATATGCTAAAGGATAACTGATATAAACTTATCAATAATTGATTGGAATTGATTGATCTCGTGAAATAGATTGATGTACAAACAAATCATTTCTGAGATTATTTATTTTTGCAATTCATCGCTATACATTAAATGAAAAATTTAATTCCAAAAAGTGTATTTTCATTAATACATTGTACTAAACGTTTGACTAGATGTTATTTTATTCATCATATAAACTCAAACAGAACCTCGGGCTAAATAAAAAATGGAGCTGGCAACTGTTTGTATTCATTTTATGAATATTTCAGCAAAAACTAGCAACAAAATTTTCTATGTATGTCTACAACTTATTCACAAATAAAATTATAAATATTTCTGTTTTGTCTGGGTGGAATTGGTAGTGAACGAAATATTATTATTTTACAACTTCGAATCAATGCAGGGAGATTTAGTAAACAGTAAGAGATAAAGGTTAGGTTGATATGGCAAAGTTATTCAAAATTTTTACTGTTTTGAAATAACTTCCTCATTCGTTTTCATTCCGACCTAATTCCAACTAACCACCGCTCAATATAATAAAAATTTGAATCATATTACCTTCAATCTATTTAATGACTAATAATATCACCTGAGTTGAGGTAGAAATACCAACTTATTGAATGTACATGTGATAAACTGATTACAAATTTTCACATGAGAAAACAGATTCAAAAGAGGGAAACGAATTCAATTCTATCTGATCAAATTTAATGATTTCCAAGCATTCCAATGGATTGAGTTTCAACATATCTCATTCAAACACATCTCTTCCAAATGTAATCGTGGTTGAACTCATACCTCTCTACTAAAAGATGTTTTATTCAACTTTGTTTATTTTTCAAATTGTGAAGGGTTATAAATTCAAAATATCTTTAAAAGAATATTATTTTTATTCCATTGGTGCCATTCGACTTCATGGCCTAACCATAACTTCGAAATTTCAAATACGGATCTGTATTTGAATTTTTGATTTTTTTCCAATTTCTATGATCGCAATATGCTCCTATATGTACTACAGCTAATGTGATTTTTTTTTGTTATTTGAACGATTACAGTACCAAATACCTACGGAAAATGTTTAGACTTCCCAACCTTTTATTTCTAGTCAGGTTTTCTCATGTTGAACAAATTAAACTTTTTTATCCTAATTATATTCCAGGTACCACGATAGTTCATGATCACTTTATGTAGGTTATGATCTCAAGTAATATTTAATCAGTTAAAAAACACCATGAAAATTTGAATCGGTGTTTGAGTTCCCAAGGAATGTCGAGTTGAAAAAACTCACCAAAATAAAAGTAATATAATAGATACCTACCTAATAATAGTTACCTGATTATATCTCTCTAGTAAAAAAACAAGAAACACGTGAAAATGTTTATCACTGAATCCTAGAATACGCACGACAAAAGAATTTTGAGTTGAAAGAAATGAATTAATTCACAAAATGAAATTAAAACTATCTCATTTTTCTTGAAAAAGAAAACTTTCAGGATCGCCGAAGTCACTTCAATTCGTGAATATTATATTCTCATCATTCGTTGCTGAGACTTCGAAATGCAACTTTCGTCCTCGCAGTAAACACACATAACACTGATGAAGTCTGCCGAAACGTTTGGTACGTCAGGTTCTGTTCGTCCATTACCTACTAGCCTGCATTTTATTCTCTTCCAATTCAACTTCGAATATTACAAAAGGTCATCCTATACCAGGTGACTACGAAATCATCGTACACGACACCATTCAATTGCTTCTGAGGCAAGAAATTAGAAGCGAAAGTTTAGTTAATTCCAGCTGATGAGAAAACAAACGGGAATATATTTTGGTTCGACCGGAAATGAACCTCAATAAAGAATTTCAAATAGAACTCTGTATATTTTTTAGACAAAAATTAATTGACGCTCCGGGGCGACTTCATTGATTCCAGTGGCGCATTTGCTTTTTCAGCTGCAGGAAAACCCAGAAAAACCTGCAGCACCACATCATCTGAAGATCTTGATCTTCCAATAACCTCTCTTTCATGAAACAAAATATAGGGTGTCTCTAGAGGCTCCAATAAATTCAATACATAACTGACAATTCCCTTTCAAAATGGCCAAATTGCATATGGCGATAGTTCAACTTCATCTATGGAAATATTGATGTACTTAGAAACAAAAAACGAAGTTTGCACAATTTTCAATATACTTTCATTTTTTTAATGTAACTTCATTACTTTATTTCGGATATCTAATGAGGAAGTGATATTTTCCAAACTTTAACTGCAAACAATGACAAAGATACTATGTGGTTTATTTTCCAGTGCCAGTGAAAAAGTAATTTTTTGTCACTTTCGACAATAACTACTTCACAGAAAGATGAAGTGGGAAGCCTTGAAACTTTTTCATGACCGTGATTCTGGCCGTGAAAGCCTATTTTCTTATATTGTATCTTTACCCCAGGGGTAAGGGCCACCTTGTCATATTCACTGGATATCACAGAAGAGCCTCAATTGCTGTTATAAAATCATTGAATCACGAATGAAGGTGAGGCCCATATTTGGCGATAATCTACGATTTCAAATGCAACGTTGATTCACTACTCAAGTTTTTCTGTTATTTGCGTCAGGAGATCCTAGTTGGTTCTAGTTTATGTCAGTTTATATCAATTTATGATTCCAGTTATGTCTCGCTAGCGTTTGCGCTGTTATTTTCATCAAGTACTCTTCTTGGTTCTTCACATTTTGTCTTCAATCGTGGACCGCCTGCGCAGTACTAATGATGCCCAACAGGCTGAAACACCAGTCTACCGATGGATCCTAATTTGAAATTAAACTGGGAATGATCGGAATAGTAATTGTCCATAAATATTTTGATTTTTATGGAATTATTTTTCAGCGGCTTGACTGCAATAACCATTATTGATTTTATATAATTTCTAAAAACATGTGGACGTTTTCCGATGGCATGCCAGGAGATCTTCCCGAATTTCTGCTAACGCAGTTGAAGGTTTTGAAGATTTGTCAAACCACCAATGCCGACGTGTGTACCACCTGAGCTAACTTGGGTGGTACACCAATAGGTGATTTTACTTATGTCTCCTATGCGGTTACGCGGTTATTTTTATCCAGTACTTATCTTGATTCTTTCCATGCGTGGTACTGATGATGTCCAACAAGCTGAAACAGCTGTCTAGCAATGGCTCCTCAGTAGAAATTGAATTGGGAATGATCAGAATAGTTATCATCTATTTATCTTTTGATTTTCATTTGATTATTTTTCAGCAGCTTGACTGCATCAACCTTTCTTGTATGTATATGTATATTCATACGTAAACATTTCACTATGATAATAAATAACAAGGGGCGGCGTATTTCCGGTCGGCCCCAAGCGGCGATAACCCACGCTACGCCACTGAGTTTGAGGGTATAGCACTGGATAGACAACCTTTCAACAAAATCCCATTTTTGTTAAAAAAAAAAATTGGTATCTCATCTTCGAGATACAGATATGAACATCGATGAAAGAATGTTTATCAAAAATACGGTTCCGTATTAAAAATTTGAAAGTTGAGGATGGCCCGAGTCGGAAGTGTAGAAATTCATTGAGCGTATTCTGAATGCTGAACGAAAATGGGAAACTTCGATTACATATTCAATATTCCTACAAAAAATGAAAATACACCCGTAAATATGATTTGGAGTTTTTAGGTCTTCCCGTATATTCCCGGAACCAAAAGACAGTGATATTGGAATAACCGCATATGTGAAAAATGCCATTTTTTGTCAGTATTTCTTTCAAAATCGAGTAAGAACGATGGTGGTGACTTCACTAACATTCAATATGAACTGTCGATACTGTAAAGCCTTTTCACATTACATAATTCAACTTTCTTCTTCTTCCTGTATTTTTGTTATTTTGACTGTTAGTGAGACATTGTCAACTTGTTTTTGAGGTCGTATATTCATTCATGTACTTTTTCCTGCTTTATCATATACGAGTACATTTTGGAACCTGCTTCGAAGGGGTGTTTAGGTCTCAGTGGTGGTGATGTCGCAGTCATTTTTGAAACTTCATTTTTCCTTCGAAATGTAAAAATTTGGGTGTTACTTCCTGAAAAATGATCCATTTTCTCATAGAACTAATACATGATATTGATTTCAGCATTTACTTTCGGAAAGATTAAACTTCTGTTTAACCTACTCTCTTTTTCGTTTCCATTATGAAATTCCCATGCACTTGGAATTGAATATTGTCCATTTTGTAATACAAACATTCACATGTGTCCTGTAAACTAAATACTTCCAGGTATGTCGCCCAATAGAATTGATGGAGCGTGTAATTAACTTTAGTGAATCAGCCAATTAGTCAATTAGGCGAAATAGATGAATGAGTAGTTTGATCTGCGATTCAACCAATTACGGTCGAATTCCACAAATGTAGCACGATGATTGTTTTGTCCTAGTTTTGGAATTGTTATTTGTTTTTTACCACACCTCATATTGAATGGATCACCTTTGCAAAACTTTTTCAATCAAATTTATCATTTTGTGTACTTGACTATGATGCATGGCATATAATAAAAAAATTGTCATCGAGTTTTTGATCATTATATACAATCTGTCCCTGTTAACCTTGTACCACCCAATTTTCGACAAAACTGATGCAAACTGAAAATGAGTTCAAATTAAGATGTGTTATCATATGAAAAGATCAAAATGTGAACAATGTCATTTTTCACGTATAAGTAATAATAGAAATGTCGGTCAGAAAAGTCACTGCAGGACACTAATCTACTTTTGAGTATAAATCAAGAGAATTGGTCTACATGATAGATATTTCACGTCTGAGAAAAACAAATTAAAGGGTAATGAATCTTGCAATTCATCTCCATTGCTGCTTGCTTTCCAATCTACCTGTCATAAAAATTATCTGTGGCACAAAATGAGTATTGTGGTGGTGGAAGATACTCTGGTATAGCGAAACACGTGTCTCAGTTTTGTAAACTTTCAAGTGAAAACCTCACATCAAAGTGTGTTTTGAATACGTCCATATTCAGAAATGTATATATACAAGAATTGAATGAAGATGACCTATACAAATCAATATAGACTTAGTTTGTTTGGCGATACTATACACCTCTCCTTTTTATACTTCTCTGACAAATCATTTTGTTTTGTTTGAATGCACATAGGT